CCACTACTCCTGACGAAGTACCACTACTCCTGACGAAGTGCCACTACTCCTCTTCCTAAACAGTGAGCTACTGTCCACTGGTCTCATGCTGAAGGTGAGAACTTCAGAAGACCTGCTGCTGCTGGTCCACATTATTCTGAGAGCTGCAGCAGAGCAGCAACCATCCTCAGGTGTGTTCTGTTACCTGTGTTGCAGGTTTGATGGCGGCGGCTTTCAGGCTCATGGCGGCAGGGTTCATGGGGGTGAGCTCCATGCCCGGCAGCAGGTCGTACAGCTTCTCCTCCGCCTGCTTGTCCACCTTCAGGCCGTAGGAGGCGCCGCCTACGCCGCCGGCTCCGCCCATGACTCCGACCCCGGCAGCGTAGGCCAGGTATCCCCGCCCGCCCAGCCCCCGCACCCCCGCAGCCCCTACAGGTACAGTCATGTAAATTTCTACAGGAGATCGAAAAGGCAGTGAAATCAATCAAATCACCGGAAATCAACCGGGAAGAAGAATCAGACAATTATCAGTCATGACAACAGTACATGTGTCCTGCTTCCTCACTGAGGAAGACTCCTTCCAATGCTCACTTTACAAACATTCTGATTTCATGGTGATCAACATGAGGTTCTCTTGATTCAGTGGATCGTGTTTGATACAACATTCAGGCAAACCAACAGACTCTTTATGTTTGATTCTTGATTCGATGGTTCAGATGCTGAGAATCAGATTGCTGATGAACTGACACATTTCAACCGTGTCTCCTGACAACGACCTTCACATACGACTGAACTGCATTGGTAACCAGGTTTTGAGGGAAATGTACTTCCTGCTGGGTTACGGTTGCAGTTTGAATCAATTTCAACAGTTTTTTAAAGTTTGAAACAGTTTGAAATAGTTGAAAGAAGTTTTAAAACGCAACAAAACTACTCGTTCATTTTTAGTAAAACATCACGGTTTGGCTTAAAAAGGTTAGTTTGTCACGTTATTTAAGATATGGATGTAGTTGAAGTCAAACGGGACACTAACAGCTGTCTCCTGGGTGAAAGTCTTGTTTGTGTGACTCATCCGTCAGCTGGACCTCGTCCCTTCATGGACTTCCTCCAGAAACTTATTTGTGATGCGTCAAAAACAAAAGCAATCCGGTAGAATTACGTTTCCCTCTGAGTGTAATTGATCATTTTTAGGAGACCAGGCTGTTATTTTCAATATTTGTGTTTTGGAGTTTTCAACTGACAGCAGCAATTTTCTTCTCTCGATGTTTAACTCCTGACTTTGAGTTTGTTTGTTTAAGAATGAAGTTGTAAAACAGTAAATTATGAAGTTTATAATGTCAAACCTGGAGAATAAAACATTGGAGCACCCGGAGAGGACGCTGACGTTTAAATTTGCTTTCTGAAAACTTCACTTTAGACTTTGTGGGATCTAGTTCAGTGTGCTTCATTTAAATAATGTAGCGACTAAAGACAGTCCTCAGCTGGCCCCCTTTAGCTAACGCTGTTACTTATTTAACCTCCAGCCAGAGCAGAAAGCTCTCGTTCGGTTTCTCCTGTTGAGGATTCACTGCGTCCTCACCTCTGACCGACGGTGTCCTGATCAGACCTCGACCTCCGACGTGAGCTTTGGCCGCCGGGAAGCGGAACTGACCTGGTATGGCGGCGTAGGCCTGGGGGGCGTAGAACACGGGCGGACCGAGGTACGCCGCTGAGGGGTCGTACACCTGGAGGACGAGGAGGAGAACACATCTCAACGTTGGATGTCAGAGGATGAACTGTATTAAATATTATAATGAATTTAATTTATAATCAATTATAATTCTACTTTTATTAATTACTTATTAACTATATTATTCATTATAATTGTATTCATTAATTATAATAGATCTATAATGAATTATTATAATACGATTATATAACCCTGTATTATTATTATTATTATTGTTTTCATTTAGCACCATCATCAGGCCAACGAGTTAATACTTCAGAACTACAGACTTTATATCACAACAGGATAATGAATAAAAGAAGAAGTTCATCGTAGCTGAGAGTTGGAACTCATTGTGTCAACGTCCTAATAATAAAAATGTATTATTATTATTATTATCAACGCAACACAATCAAAACTAAACAGAGATGCAGCAGCTCTTCGGGCGCTGGTTACAGTGCACGCTATGTTACCGCAACTCCATTCTGAGGGATTCTCCTGCATTATGGTTGCAGTTTTAAACAGTTTGTAACCGTTTTAAACAACACGGGACACAAACTGCTGTCTCCTGAATGAAGGTTCCATTTGTTTGTTTCACTGAAGCTAAACCACTCAGCTGTGAATGTTCCTGCTTCCTCCGTCATAATGAAAGTACAGCTGAGGTCTTCCCCTTCCTGTTCTCTGAGATCACCAACACGGTGCACCAGGACTCCTCCTGCAGGACTCACATGGACCTGGTGTCGTGATGCGTTCAGGGTCCTACCTGTCCCAGAGTGTAGGCGGCGTAGTCGGTCTGCAGCAGAGACGTTCCACGTCCTCCCGTCCCTCTGGTGTAGCGGACGTAGCTGTCCTTGTCCACTGGCTTGGCCAACGTCACCTCGATAGGAGAGCCGTCCACCAACTGGAGGGAGGAGGACGAAGTAATGTCTTCAGATCCTGTACTTAAGTTAAAGTACTGGTACCACACTGAAATACTCCATTACTACGTGTGAACTCTGACCTTCCCGTTGAGGGCGTTCATGGCGGTGACCGCGTCCTCTCTCTGAGTGAAATGGACGAAGGCGTAGTCTCTGATCTTCTTCACCCTCTCCACAGCGCCTGCAACACAACAAAGTCCTTAAAGATCCGCTTCTGAACCTTTATTCTGACTTCATTCAGCCTTCTGGATCCGCAACGCTCAGCCTGGAGGATCACAGGTTAAATACCTGTTAACATTCTGTTCTGTTCACATTCATACCAGTTTCATGTGGTTTAAACACTCTAAATACAGCATCATTTAGTCAACAAAAGGAAAATAAATGACAATAAGAAAGACAAAATAAATAAAGGAGTCCATCTAATCAGATGATTGTATCATGTAAAGATCAAATAAAGAAGATACATTTTGATGTTTTAACTATTCTCTCAATGTTCATGATATCTGAGGAGAAAACTATTCATGTCTATAAGAAGGTGGTGAGGATAAATATTTAAATATAAACTCATAACTGATGACTGAAAGGCAGACGCAACAAACTCCTCCTGAGAATTAGGATTAGATTATCAGACTATTAGATTATGAGATGATTAGATTATTAGATTATGAGATTATTAGATTATTAGACTATTAGATTATGAGATTATTAGATTATGAGATTATTAATGCATTATATATCAGCTCAAACAATATAAAGATCATCAAGATATTAGTTCACTTTGAGGTTTGATCCAGTGTTAAAATAAAATGAGCATGTTTTTTTTATTTTGTATTTGCATAACCCCGTCCTTCTAAAGTTATGAAGTTTTGACTTTAAATATTGATATTATATATTAATTTTATTAAGATGAAACCACCTGCAACTTTCACTAATTCCTAAATTGTATTAACAATAAGAGGAAATCTGTACGTGATAAAAATCATATTGATAGAATCAGCAAACACAAAGTGAAAAGACTTAAAAGTGACAAAACAAAAATCTCAGATGTCCTGAGATAGAACCTTGTGGGACGCCACCCTGCCTTGTTGGGTCATTCCTTTTGGTTTAGTGTTTCCTGTTTTATTTTGAAATACTCACCTTGACTGTGGTTTCAGATAACTTCCTGTCCTCCTGTGTTTCCTGCCCCCCCACCTGTGGACCTGCTGCTTTATTTAGATTGTAAGTTAAGAACTCGTCCTGCTGCCTCGGCACCAGTTCATCTGTGTTTGGGTCCAATCCTCACAAATAATTATCACATCGTTCTCTGTCTTCACTTCCCATCCCGAGTCATTAAATCTCTTAAAAACAATCGGTAGCCGTCACATTACTGCAATGTCACAGGTTCAGTTCTGGCTCTGAGACCCTGTTGTGTGTGGAACCCGTCTCTACACTGTCCTCTGTTACATGGACGGAAGGATGCCCAGATAATAACCTGCAGAAAGTTCTAAAGTATATCTGAGTCTCTGTGGTTCTGTGCTCTGCAGTACCTGGCCTGAGGCTGCTGAACTCCTTTTCGATGGTCTCCTCGCTGGTCTGCAGCATCAGGTTCCGGACGTACAGGATCTTGACCGTCGCCATGGTATCCTCGTCCACCTCCACCTCAGGCTCCGCCCAGTCCACGGCGATGGCGTGACCCCACAGCTGGATACGACCTGAGACACCAGACGGTGGGTTCACTTTGAGGCTTTATTAATGTGACTTCAGATTCACTTTGAGTCTTGTTTTTAAAGTTATAATAATTTTAAAAACTGAGTTTACAAAGTGCTTTGACAGACAAAGCACTAAAACAACAGGAAGCTCAACAGAGCAAGATAATAATAATAATAATAATAATAATAATAATAATAATAATAATAATAATTAAACACCAATAAAACAGACAAACAAACTAAGGAATAAAATAAATACAAAATGTATAAATAAAAAAATAATGAAATCAAATGACCAATAATACAATAAAGAATTAAAAAGAAGTGATTTAAAAGCCTTTTGTCCTCAGTCAGGTCATTTTAAATCAATCACTTCAACACTGGATGTGCTTACATTCGGTTCATCGTTCAGGAGGAACTGTAATAACTTTATTGATACTTGTCATCATCGGGTCAACATGTTAATGTGTCCAATACTTTGTTTATTACCAAAAATTTGCAGAAAGACATTCAATCAGTGTTTTGAGTAGCAGATGTTAGCATGCTGCGCTAAGATGGTTTTAGCTGCTAATAAGCAGAATGTTGATGTTAGCATTCAGCTGAGTCAGCTTCTCAGAGGATCCCTGACTCTCCATTTCAGTCGCTGCTCTAAACTAATTCATTCGTGACTTAAATGTGACGTTTGGTTTCTACCTGGCAGCAGTTTCCGGCGGGCCATGGCGGCCGCTCTGTGGCTCTCGTACTCGACGAAGGCGAAGCCTCGGTTCTTGGTTTTGTCGGCGGCGCTCGGGTACACGATGACGTCCACCACCCCGTCGGTGACCTTCCTCATCTCAGACAGGATCTCCTCGCGCTTCTTCGTTTTGGGAATCCCGCCGACAAACAGCCGGCAGTTGTCGACGCTGGCACAAACTCCGAGGAGGCGGCCGTTTCTGTAGGAAAGGAAGACGAGCACAAGAGTCGAACAACAAGTCGGACAACGAGTCCTTAAGAAGCATCAGTCAGCCGAGGTCCAAGGTGTTCAGACTGGAGGGTCGTCTGTGTATCAGGTGCTTGTGAGAGGATTTGTGTTGTCAGGTAGAAGCTTGATGATTAATAACATATTGAGGTGTTGTATCTGTGTGATGATGAGCAGAGTGTTCAGGCTGGTTGCTAGAGGACTTGTGTGGTGGCTATGGTGTTACTTGGTGCTCAGAGTG